AGGCTGTACTCTCAGTTGAACTCCAGTTGATCCTCCTGCCTCGGCCTCCTACTGCTGAGATGACAGGGTTTTGTGACCTAACTGTAGGCTTGTTTTGCTTTGTTCTAAAGATTTTCTTGTTTTATATGTAGTCAGATGTGTCACTATTGTTTTTTTATGTCTTCTGGTTTTGAGTTTCAGTCAGAGAACATTTCCCTTTACTGTGGCTGTGGAGCAAGACACTCAGGTGTTTTTTATGTTTGCTATTTTCCTAGCCTGCGTGTATGTATGTCCACCCTGTGCATATCTGATCCAGAGGTCAGAAGAGGGTGTAGGATCCCCTGGAGCTGCACATGATTGTGAACTGCCCTGTGGGTGCTAGGAATTGAACTTGGTTCCTCTGGAAGAGCAGCCAGTGCTCTTAGCCAATAATCTCTCTGGCCCCATTGGTTTATTTTTAAATATGACATCAAAGCCAGGTGTAGTAGTTACACACCTTTTAATCCCATCGCTTGGGAGGCAGGGGCTGGTAGGTTTAAGTGAGTTGGAGGCCAGTCTGATCTATGTGGTGAGTTCCAGGACAGCACGATGTACATAGTGAGACCCTATCTTAAAAAAAAAAAAAAAAAAACCAAAACCAAAAAAAGAGAAAGAGAAGAAGGAGATAAAGGCTTTGTTAGTTTTTTTTTTCTTTTTCCAGTTAGCTATCCAGTTATCCAGATAACTTGCATTGAATTAGGTGTGCTATAGCCCATCACTTAGAGGCTAAAGCAGAAGGATTGCTCTGAGTTTAGGCCGGCAGAGGATGTATAGCAAAATCTTGTCTTTAAGGTGAAGGCGGTGGCTTGACAGCTGGCTCAGTGGTTAAGGCCCTTGTTCTTGCAGAGGACCCAGATTCAGTTCCTGTCACCCATCTTAACTCTAGTTTCAGGAGATTTGAAGCCCTCTTTGAACTCTCCAGGCACTAGGGACACAAATGGTGCACATACATGCAGAAAAAAACCCACTCATATGCATAAAATAAATGAATTTTTGAAAAGCCCATTTATAACCCAGTGATTTGGGTGACAACTTTCCATATAGAGAGTTTTCTGGACTTTGAACTCTGTGAAACTGCTCTATTTGCCTTTTTTTTTTTTTGAAATGCACATATAGTTGCTGGATTTATTTATTCCTTTTTGGGACGTCAGGGAAAACAGAGGCAGATAAAGAGAATTTTCCCCCCCAAGGAAAACGTTTGAGAAGAACAACTAAAAGGACGGAAGACCTTCTGATACATAGATAAGAATTGAATGAGAGATAAACATTGCTTTGTTCTCCAAGTTTGCATGAAGGGAGAATTAGTGTGCTTTCCCAGTGTGTTGGCAAGGGGTTGCATGCTAGAAGTAGAAGGGCTGGAGATCCTTGGGATGGGACCACGTCCATCACAGTGGGTCTACTGTGTCCTGCTGGACAGGTCAATGTGGACTCATGGTTGAAAGGCAACTCTGGGCCATCACTAATCAGTTTAATGAAGTTGTGGGGATTACATAGCTGTCCTTTAGGGGATAAGTTTAGAAAGGCCAGCTCTTCTAGGTTGAGGGTCCAGTTGGGACACAGACTGGAAACAGATTCACGTGATAAGTCAGCCTACGTTGTTTTTTGTGCTGTGTGTTGTGCAACTATGTGATTTAAGAAGAGTTTTTATATTGAGAAAATTATGTTTACTTGCAAAAAATTTTCATAATTTGGGACATTTCAAATCCAGAAACATGACCAGAGGTTATGCTAGGCCATTTAAAATACTCTTAAATACCCTCTTTAGCCTAGTAGCTGGCTAGGTTTACAGTACCCAAAATGAATCCTCTCCTATTGAGTGGGCCTTAGTCTAATTAAGCAGCTGTTGGTTACCCTCATGATAGTAGTGCCCCTCTTGCACTGTTGGTAATTTCTTACCAAGGCTGTCATTGTTTACTTGCCAATTTTTGTACAAGTCCCCACCCACTATCATTATACAGTCGTGGTGTGTTTTAGTGTCCAGGGTGTTTTCCTTCCCCAGCGTGCGTCTGACCTTTTTTCCCCCATGTGGTCTTTAGTAGCTATTCATGTTACTCATGAAATATTAATAGCTTGCTAGTATTTTTGCTGGGATTAAGTAGAATTTTCGAATTAACTTAGGGAGAATGCTCATCTTTGTAGTCTCAAATCATCTTATCTAAGAACAGGAGACTTTTAAAATTAGTTCTTACGTAGTTTGTGCCCTGAAGAGTGTTCTAAGCTGGCACGGGGCACTTATCTGTATCCTCAGCACTGCTGGGGCAGAGGCAGGAAGATAGTTCAAAGTCATCCTTGGCTACATAGCAAGTTCAAGGCTAGCCATGCAAGACTTTATTTAAAAAAAACAAACATCCTTCTCCCACTGCAAAAAACACATGTTAAGTTCTCTGAGCCAGCAGATGTGGTGGTGCGAGCCTCTAACCTTCCTCTCAGCAGCTCCCGGCTGCCTGTGCTGCCACCGCCAGGGGTCTCTGGGCAGCTGCAAGCATGCAGTGCACCTGAACTCACACAGGCACACAGGCACATCAATAAAACATTGATTAACATGAAAAGAAAAACCCAAAGCATTTGCTTCCTATTTTAGTTTAGTGTTTTTTGGTTTATTTTTGATTTTTTTCCTGAACGATGTTTACATTTCAAACTAGCTTGCGTCTCTCTGGAGATCATTGCGTTACTGTTTCCTCGTGAAAACTAACACGAATGGTGCTCATGGATTTCCTGGTGTCGAGCCTGTCTTTCTTTTCTGCAGACTTTGTCCTGGTCATAGTGTAATTTCCTTAATATGATGGGAGAGGCCATGTCTCTTCCTGTTTTGATTTTTTGCCTTGGTACTTGATGGTTAGTGTTGATTGTCAATTTGACAGGATGTAGAATCAGCCAATCTTCAGGCACACTTTTGAGGGATTTTCTAGATTAGGTTAGTTTCTGGAAATGCCCATGGTAAATCTAATACTTAATCCCAGGTACCCATGGAGAAATACCTCCTTGTTGAATAAACCCATTATGTTTCAACAAACCCAACTCTCTGATGGGACTCTTGGCAGGTAATGGTGGCTGCAGGAGTTGGGGGCCAGGTGTTGTTTTTGTCAGTGGTGTACCCACTGAGAAGTAGTCTGTGCACCAGTAAATAACTTCCTACCCATGCTCATGCAGAAAAACCCTAACTAAATCAAATGAAAATATGCACACATACACCCTCAAAGACCGGAAAACTGGAGGGAGACTTCATGGAAAGAAGAAGGGTTTTGGTGGAAGTGGCAGGAGGAGGAGAAGTGGGGGAAGGACGGGAGGTGGCGGGAGGATGGGAGGTGGTGCTCCCGACAGCAAAGCTGGAGGGGTCGCGCTATCAAAGCCCTTTAGCATCAGGCATGTAAGTAGAACGTTTGGAGATTGCCCTGCTAGGTTTCTGTCTTGCTTTTGACTAGGCCCGTAGTCCTCCCTTTTGGAATGGTAATGTCTATTCTGTGCCCCTATATGCTGGAAGTATCTCGTTTGCTTTTTAATTTTACAGAGGGTTACAGTTAGGAACTTGTCTTTAGTCTCAGAAGAGACATTGGACTTTTAAACAGGGTTGGGACTGAAAGCCTATGGGGACTTTTGAAGTTGCACTAAATGTGTTTTACATTATAATATGACCAAGAACTTATGAGGGCCAAGAAATGGAATGTGATAGTTTTAATGAGAAGTGTTCCCTGGAGGCTCCTAAGTTTGAATACCTGGTCCTCAGCTGGTAGAACTCTTTGAGAGGGACTGGAAAGAATGGCCTTGTTGTAGGAGGTGTGTCCCTGGGGTCAGGCTTTGAGAATTTAAAGACACATCATTTTAAGGTTTATGCTTATGGTAAACAATGTGGAATCTGGGTATGGTGGCACATGTCTTTAATCCTAGCACTTAGGAGGCAGAAGCAGGTGGATCTCTGTGAGTTTGACATTAGACTCCCTGTTTTGAAAAAAAAATGCGTATTCTCAGATTCTGGCTCTCACCACCATCCTTTTGGCCTCTCACCCCCTGGAATTGTAAGCCCAAATAAAGTCTTCTATGAGTTGCCTTGATCGTGGTGTTTTATCACAGAAATAGAAAAATAATTGATACAGATGGTGATGATTAAAACTTTCATTGAATAAATAAATTTTAAGAGCCAATTAGGAATCATTAAATAAATGATACCCTAAATAACAAACACAGTTGGGGAAACTCTGACTTGCCGAGGACGGTGATTTACAACTGAGTGTAGATGCAGCTGGAGCCATGCAGCAAATGTTTCCTGGATTGGCAGGTGTCCAGAAGCAGGCCCATCTGCGTGGCCACCAGAGGGACATGCTGGCCCTGGACTGAGGGTAGATTGGTGAGTGTTTACAGAATTCCTCCTGACTCTTGCCCAAGTCAGGATGGCTCTTGGAATGTACCGTGGGGCATTAGGACATTACTTTCTTCTGAAGTATTGAAGGACTATCTTTGTAATTAACCTTCTTTAGTTCATGTGGATGTAGAAGCCAAATGTTAACTTTCCCCCATTACCTGGCTACAGGCTGTGTGTGCAGACTCTGAGATCAATAAAAGTAATTTGTTTTTCCATGCCAGTAAGAGAATTATTCACAAGTGAGCCATGCATACTGTGTTAAGAAAGAATGCAACTCGATGCTAAGGAAGATGTGTTGAAGCTTATAAGTAGTTCCTTGAACAGAATTTATAGGTTTGGTACATTTTCAATAAACCAGCCACAATAGTTTATTACAGGAATTTCAGCCAAAATTGTTTAAAATGACTATTTTAAATCTATCAAGCCGGGTAACCACAGGCAGCACTTGAGCTAACAAGGTTAAGGTAAGTGATGGCTGTTAGTCCTGAAAGTCATCCCCACGCGTTCTATAAGACTTTCCCGCTCCACAGGGGTCTGTGTTGGGAGCTGAAGTTTTCTGAAAATAAATTCAGTCAGAGTGTTGTATGTTGTCTGAGGTCATCGGAAGTGAAATTTTGTGTTTCAGAAACGGGCATGCAGGAGGTCAGAGGCTGGTGGCCATGAATACACCAGCCACATGGTAAGCACCTGTGCCCTGCTGTCCTGGAGCACAGAAGACCAGGAGCCACGGCCCCGAGGCCCGCCTGCACCGCGACCAGAGTGTGGCCAGGAGAGGCCGAGCTCAGTGGTATGTGCTTTCTCCTGCCACCAAACCCACTGCGAGCAAATAGAATTTGTTAAATAAAACCGTGGTTTCCATGTGCTGATGCACGTATGTCTGTGGTTCATTTAATAGAGTCTGCAGAACGGTGGAAGGAGCTCAGCCCAGCCTTGCCTGAGATGTATTGCGGGGGAGTCTGTAAGTGTGATCTCACTGAGACAGAAATGACAGAGTTCTTCCACATCAGATCTGTAAAACAGTTAATAAAGTCTGCAATCACATATATAAGGAATGAGATACGTGAATAAAACTGAAGGCTGATTTGAACTTTTGTTTTTCTTTAGCATTCTGTTGAGGTAAAAAATGTTCCAGCTTCAAATTTAGAACTAGAAATCACAAAGAGATTTAAAACCCCCGCTAAGAAGCAGTATTTGTGTGTGTGCGCGCATGTGTGAAGGTGCTGTGACTAGATGTAGCCTCGAGGAAAAGAAGCTGACTCTCTACTTGTCTAAAGGACAGACCTTGAAGGTCGACTTAGGGAAGAACACGGCCTTATTTAAATTATCCAACAGGAGTCAGCATTGGGTTTTCCTCATCTGTTTAAACTTTTCTAGTGTGTTTCCATAAACTTTACATAAATTGTAGATTTCTGAAGGAAACATCATGCTCACACCATCAGTTCAAAATAAAGGGAGGCCAAAGACCGCCAACCAATTTTCAGCCTCCACTGTAGGGCGGAATATCATAAAGTATATATTAGCATAATAATGCCTTTGTTATTAATTTTGAACTTACTCTAAGAACAAGTTAATATGTTTTTGATAACCTCTATAATTCTTGGGTTTTTTATTTTAAATTTGAACTCTCAATATTGTAATAAAATAGACCTGTATTTAAATTCCACATAGAAACCAGGCGGGTGAGCGAGTGCCTGAGTCTGAGTGTCGGAGATTGCCCCCCAAAGATCTTTAGAGAAGTGACTTGCTGTTCCTGATGAGCAAAAGATTGAGTCCGTAACTTCCGCACATCTTCAGCTGACACAGGACTGGATGCTGGGATCTGCAGTGGCAGGCACTGACTCTTAGACAGACCCGATGCTCTGGCAGCTGCCATCCACATTAACCTGAGTAACTGAAGTCATCAGAGCAATACAGAAGCCAACTTCAGTGTCGTGCCTCCTCCCGGAAAGTGCGCTTTGCTTCTTTCTGTTCTCTGTCTGTAGAGCATCGTGTTGGCTGTGTGCTGTATTTCTGAACAGTGCTCAAATTCAAGATGCAGTCATCTGAGTTCCGTGTAGTTTAGGTTGACTCCCATGACTGCCGAATACACCCGAGGATGCAGCTAAGTCATACTTTTTGAGAATTGTGGCCCCATTGTAGTCAAATAACCTCTCTGGTTGTGACTGGCTGGTTCTCTGTCTTGCCCCAACCCCATATCCTTGGGATATAGCTTTCAACTCCTCCTGCCTATCGGAGGCACATTTGGAAGTAGCGTGAATTCCTAACACTCTGAGAGGTTGTGTTCTGGCATGGATGGCTTAAAGGGAGGAAAAAAAAGAATTAGCTCAAGCGCCTGATTGGATCATTTTGGCTAATGTTCTGTTTGAACAACAGTACCTGTTTGCTTAGGGTTTTCCCTTCCTTTGTAATTCCCCAAGCTTGCCTCTTTTAGTTTCATAGGAAATGAATCTATGAGCAGAAAACCTACATTGATATGTAAATATCATTTTTTTGGTTAATGCTCAATATTCTTTTCATCTAAATTTCAGAAACTGACTTTAAAAAATCAGTTTCCCTTTATTTGTAGTTATTCTCAATAAAATTTTACCCAGGCTTGGGCGGTTTAATATTTACACCCACTATTTCTAAAAGTCTTATGTAAATAAAGATTGAAATGTGAATTTGAAAAGTCACACCTCTTGATATTTGAACAGACTATACTGCGTATATCTTCTTTTCCTAATAATACGGCTAGTTTCTCTCCTAAGCTTTTAAAATAATAAGACACTTACTATTTTTATATTCTAAAACATCAAAAGGTTCGGTGTTAAATAAAAAGCAAATAGTATTTTTAGAGATGCAGGATCCCAGGGAGCACTACTTAGCAGCAAATCACTGATGGGCAGCGACTGCAAACTTCAGAGGACTTTATTACACTCAGGCTTCTTCATAGCCGCTTGCCCACATGCCCGGGAGGGCTTTCCTGCCAGCTCACACTCCCAGCCTGACTCCGATGACTCCCCTGACTCTGAGGGCTGCAGAGTCTATGTCAGTGTGGTTCATGTGGTATCCCTAACAGCAGCCCCATCCATGTGTGCCTCTCAGCTTGCCTGGTGGCTTTTCCCCGCAGCTGCTGTGTGAACTGAGCCTCTTGTATGTTTCTGACTGTAGTCTGCTGATCCCATGATGCTTCCTGCTCAGAATCCTAGGCAGAGCTGTCTCTGCGGAGCATGAGTTCCTTGCTCTTCAACTGGCTTTTGTTTATTTGCATGTGTATGTATTTATATGTGTGTTGTGTACTTCCGTGAATATGGGCACATGCATGTTTGTGTGTGCGTAAGCCCAAACTTGACACTGAATGTTTTCCTTGATAACTTTCCATTTATTTAGTGAGGCAAGGTCTCCTGAAACTGGAGCTCACTAATTCTGGCTAGTCTAGCTCTCCATCTTGCCCCAGGGATCCCCTATCTCTGCCTCCCAAGTACAAGGATTACCAGTGGGCTTCCATGACTGCTCGTCTTTTCCCTGGATTCTGGGGATTGGAACTGAAGTCCTCATGCATACATGCTAGTGCTTTATCTGTCAAGCCATCTCCCAGTCTTCTGTCATGTTTTAGTCACTGAGTTGTTTCTCATGAATGCATGGACCTTTTCTCGGTATGAACTCAGTCTCACTCTGTAGGTTTGCGCTTCAGTCCTTCCATCTGATCCATTCTAGTTCATTCTTACAGTGGTTTCCAGCTCAGTAGTGCTGACATGGGTTCTCTCTTTTGTCTGCTTGCCATAGTCTTATTATATAGCACGAGCTGGCCTTGACCTTATCTGGTAGCCTAGGCTAACCTCAGCCTCTGAGTGCTAGGATTATAGATCTGAACAATTGCTTACAATTTCCCTATTATAATAGTCACAGTTCACCTTGTGTCATACATATATATGTGTATACACACACACACACACACACACACACACATGTATCATTGCTCCAGACACCCTCTCTCAGCCTCTTATCAGCTGCTCTCAAGGACTGGAATGAGTGTGGGAATAGTGTGCATCTGTGGTGCAGAGTGCCTGTCCCGCAGTTGTCAGGCTCCTGCCTTCCCTGCTCTGCACTGCCCTGTCTTGCACACCCAGACAGCGAGACAGAATGGTTGAGGACTATTAGCAGCAGATTCTCTTTCGTTCCACAAATGACCTCATGATGGCCTGTCGTTGAACAGCTGACTTCCCTGTAGTCAGCTTGTCCATGGGACCGCTCTTTGTTGATTGAGACCAGTTAAGTGAGCCATAATGAGGCTACAGGAGCTACAGAATAAAGAGAAGAGGATCTGTGAGGGGTTGGGAATTATAATGTAGATCATGAAGGATGTGGGTTATAAGGCAGGTCCATGAAGGGTGGGAGATTATAAGCAAAGTCCATGAAATATGGGAAGCAGAGGAAGCCCTCTCACCAGCCCTCAGAGTTACAAGGGAGCCCTGAGTGAATGTGTTCTTGACATGGGCACAGGAATGTCAAGGATTCTAGAGCCTTAGACCCATGGAAAAAATGATAAAGTCTTCTCCCTAGGAGTGAGACTTGGAGGAAAGATGGCAAAACCTTCGCATTTGGTCCATGTGTGGATGCTGATAGTGTGTGCAGAAAATGTCCTAGCCTTTTCAGCCCCCTGAACACTGCTCCCCTACAGTGATGACTTTGCTGAGTTCAGGAGCCAGCAGCTTCTGAGCAAGTGGCTGCTGATACTTAGTCACCAGCATTGATTCTGGAAGGGAGCACACACAGGCTAGAACAGTGACAAAACCCAAGAAAGTTATCAAAAAGCTATCATTCCAGGTAGTTTTGTTGTTGTGCCTTTGGTACACGATGCCCAGTATGAAAGGACACTTGGATGATTTAACATTCGAAAAATGAAAAAAAAGTGCTAATTGCATTTGCCTATTAGATCCAGGTCCTGATTATAGCAATTTCAGAGCTGTATGCGGTAGTTCATTCCTTTACTCCTTAGTACTAGGTAGACTGAGCCAGGAGGATTGTGGTGAATTGGAGATCATGGCTACATAGGAGTTCCAGACCAGCCAGAACAATAGAGCAAGACTCTGGCTTAAACACACACACACACACACACACACACACACACACCCCAAATAAACAAAACCAAACTGATAACTTATTTAGCAAACCATGATCAGAGTTTATCCTGCTAGAAGCTGAACACTATACTTCATGGAATTGTTTCCATTGTTGAGGAGGAAGACAAGGACTCTTGCTGTGGCTGGTCCTGCTCTGTGTATTAGAGTTTCCAGCCGGTATAGTAAGACAAGAACAAAGAAAACAATGAGTAGAAGAATTGGGAAGGGAAAACAGAAACATTTACATTGCTGTTGTTTCCAGATTATATACATAATCTGTCGACATAAAATATCCAAGAAAGCCTGCAGATAAACTACTAAGCAAGATGGCAGAGTAGACAAATATGCAAAACCATAGAGTCATATTCACTAACAATAATTTAGAAAAAGAAGCCCCATCCATGTTCTTCCTACTTGTACAGGTGGTTACTGTCAGCTGTCCTTTGTGGATGCCAGTATTTCAATAGGCATCCTGCAGGGGATTATCTACGTTTGCTGGTCTAAGAATATCCTGATTTCTAAGTCAGTTTCGAAAGTTGTTTTGTTGGAACCAGAATTCTTGATGGATAGATTCTGTCCCCGAGGAGGCACTAGGAAGGTGTCCGGCAGTGAGTCCAGCTGGAAGCCACTGGGCATGAGTCCATTTCTATCCCAGTACTAGAAGCAAATAAGAACGTGAGGCCCTTGAGATGGTTCAACAGGTAAAGGAGCTAGCTGTCAGTCCTGTGGACCTGAGTTCATCTCAAGACCCACATAAATAGGTGGAGAGAATCAGCTCCCCAAAGCTGTCCTCAGACTTCCACATATACATCATAGCTTTCACATGTATGCACATACATACATACAAAATAAATATCATCCTTCAAAACTATCTTTCTATCTTGCTTAGTGAGAATAGACTGGAATTTTGGTTTATTTTTCACTGTTGCTTTAGATTCTCTATGTAAGTCTTACCAACAGACATAGGCTGTAGCCAGGTTTCTTTTGGGCCACCAACCAGTTCCCAAATCATGACGCGACAACTGAATATTGTTATGAATGCTCATCCCTGTCTTGTGCTTGTCCCGCTAGCGCTTATAACTTAATTTAACCTGTTTCACTTCATTTACATTTTGCCTCTGGACTTTTTTTTACCTTTCTTTCAGTCTGTGTGTCCCACTTTCACTGCTTCCTCCATGTCTGGCTTGCGGGTGACCGACTGGCCCTAGATGTCTCCTCCTCTTTCTCCCGCATTCTCTCCCTCTCCTCTCTTGAGCCTAGATTCCTTCTCCTACATACTCTTTCTGTCCACCATCCCTGCCTATCTCTCTACTGCCTAATGATTGGCCGTTCAGCTTGTTATTAGACCAATCACAAGCCTTAGGCAGGCAAAGCCACACATCTTTACCTGGTTTGACAAATGCAGCATAAACAAATGACACGCATCCTTATGTAGTTAAAGTAATAGTCCACAACAGCAGGCTTCCTGTTTCTCTGTGGGAAGATGCACTTCCTAGACACAGCAAGCCTTGCTTAAAGCCCTTGACTTCACCAAAGCTTAGACCCAGGGAGTAGAGCATCCCTATCAGACATGTCCCTGGTGTTGTGTGTACGTTATTTGTGAGTCCCAGAATCTCAGGGCTTCAGCCCCTCCCCACCCTAGACTGTCCCTGTGCAGATCAGGCCATGTAACTTGAAAGACACTGACACACTGGGACAAATGTGGAAACTCAGGAGGCAAAACTGGACATGGTGACACCTGTCCGTAATTGTAGCACTCGGAGTATAGAAGCAGAAGGGCCAGGAGTTTAAGGACAGCCTTGGCTATGGGTGGAGCTGGAGGCCAGAATGATTTACATGAAATCTTGTTTCAATAAACAACAATATTTAAAAGAGGGGAAAAGAAATCAAGAGTGAGTTCTTAGTGGGGATTAGGGATGGTGTGAGGGAAGTCTGAATGGGCAGGTCTGAAGACTGCAGGTCACTGTGCTCACATTGATGATCTGTCTTGGTCCGAGTCTATGCATTCTACCTACAGCCTGTCTTCAGTGTGTAAGTGGGTACAGAAGTGTGATGTCTCAGTGAATGCCTTTTTAATTAAAATTGTTTTTTCAAACTTGGTGGTAGTGATGGCATGATTAGAATGGTATTCATTCCAAAGTCTTCACCTGGTCCTACCCCCAGATCCTGGACTTTTCTCTAGGGGAGGCCTCCACTCCAGTGACTTCCCAAACTCTTCTGACCTAGTCCCATAGTACAAGAGCCTCAAGAGAGAATAGTCCTGTGGAGAATTTGGGGGATGCTGCATTCTCTTTCTGGAGAACTGCTGTCCTGGGCCATGAAAGACCTTGAGGACCATAGGAAGGACCTTGTTTCTAAAGAGATGCCTGTCCTGCTCGTCATTCTTCCAGGACTGTGGGAACACGGCCTGTATGTTCTGTAATCTTGTTTATTCTTATATGATGATCTTCTATGATCCTGGATGTTCTCATAGGATATTCTTTTATGGTCTTGTATGTGTTTGTATAATCTTAGATGTTCTCCTATGATCTTGTATGTTTTTATATGTCATTCTTCCATGTTCTATGATTTCATGTTTGTGTATGTTTTTATATATTCATCTACAATCTTGTATGTTCTTGTATGTGCTTATATGATGCTCTTGTGTGTTCTTATATGTTCTTTTATGATCATATATGATATTCTACGATTTTATATATTCTGTGCTGTTCTTATTTGTTTTTTATGATTCTATATATTCTATGATGTTCTTTAGATGTTTTTCTATGATAATGTATGCTATTGTATGTGCTTATGATTATCTTCTATGATGATGTGTGTTCTTATATTCTTCAATGATCTTGTGCGTTTTTGTCTGTGTTTATATGATCTTCTGTAATCTTGCATGTTATATGTCTGTATATATTCTTTATGTCACATTCTTATATGCTTTCACATGTCCTTACATATGCTTTTACATGTTCTTGAGTGAACTCTCCACCTTTCCCCATCATGATTTATAGTGTCCTCATGACCTCAATGAGCTTGACCTTCTAGACAGATCATCCAATACTGCCTTTGTGCCACATACACACCAGGCTCCTGTTGTTCCTGGTTCTAGAACATTCTGACCTGAACATTGTTCTCATTGCCTGGGATGCCTTCTGCATCCTATGGTAGACACATGTGCTGCCCTTACTTTCATAGCACTTTGTTCTCATGGCCCGGGTGAGCCATGAGCCATTGGTATAAAATGGGTCCATGGCCACCTCCCGGTCTTCTGCAAGCAATGTCTGAATCTTTCCTATTGGCAGTGCTTGCTTTCTGGAGGATGTCATCCCCTCATTTTCTTACCACCCAACCTTCTGGAATCTCAGCCCCTCAGGGAACCATTAGTGTCTTGGTGTGGACCTTACAGGCAGGGATGCCCACCCCTCCTTAGCCTGTGGCCAGAAAGCACACTGCTGTGTGTCAGTGCCCAGAGCCAAGTGTGACAGAGACTCTTGGATGTTGAGGGGACCTCTTGCTGCACAGCAGTCTGGCCACTGTCATCCTCAACCATCTCATTCTCCCATCTACTTCTGTGGGGATATGGAAAGAGGCCTGCTCCAGGAGGGTGTGTGATAGGGACCGTTGTGATCCTGGGCTACTTCCAGATGTCCACATGAGGATCAAGCTACACTGTTGTGGTTTTAAATCCCGATTTAGTATTTTGACAGTGCATTTTAAAATTTTATTTTATGAGTAATTGAATATTTCATCCTTTTTCTCCAAGTAAAGGATGTAACATTTGTTAAAAATATTCTATGGCTAGGCAGCATTAGGAATATTTTACCTTAGTTACAGTGCAATACCTGTTAATACATCTGTAAGTTGTGCCTTAGAAGTCATGACAAGTACAAGCCAGGACCGGTGTCCCTCCCTGTATTCCCAGTGCTTGAGAGGCGGTACACAAGAGCTAACCTAGTGTGTATGTGTCTCTCCTTCTCTCCCCCTCTCCCCATCTCCTATTAATATAGCAATTTTTATTATCTTATTTTTGAGACAGGGTCTCACTCTGAAACCCAGGCTGTCACTGTGCCTGTTTAGCTTTACATGTGCTGGCAGGCGTGTGCCGTCTCACCCATCTTAGCCCAGTTATAAATGGTGTCCTCTGTGTTGGTGAATATGTAGTTGAAGTCAGTTAATGAGTACAGGGTGAGTACAGGGTGAATCGACACTCACAGTGTGTTCTCTCACCATTGCAGGGCCATTTTAACCATACCGTGAATCATTAGAAGATGCAAACGGGAAGAAGGAAGATTCCAGTTGGGTTTGATCCCCCATGTGACAGCCAGTGAGATCCCTTCCAGCTGACCTGCGTGTCCACCTGATGGCCAGTGTAAATCCCTTCCAGCTGACCTGGGTGTCCACCTGACAGTCAGTGCAAATCCCTTCCAGCTAACCTGGGTGCCCATCTGATGGCCAGTGCAAATCCCTTCCAGCTGACCTGGGTGTCCACTTGTTCAGATGACAGCCAGGGCTTCCTACAGGGGTTGTTTGCCTCTCAGGCAACCCCATTCCCTCTGCAGAAAGCCAGAGTGTGGTGGCTTATTGCAGCCTCTTTTATAATGTGTTTGACTGAAGAGGAAATCATCTAGAAGTCAACCAATTCCGTATCAAGATGCCCAGGGGTTTTGGAGCCTCATAACTCCCTGCCTTTGGACTTTGGGGTTGTTCTGGACATAACCGGGGCTGTTCACATACTCTTTTTAATTAAAAAAACTTATTTTTATATTTAAAATGTTCTATAATCTTGAAGTGAATTTTACTAATTGTTAATATCCCATCAAGCTGTGTAATTCTCCAACTTTAGTTATGAGGGACAGAACCCCATTGATATTAAAATGGGATTGTGGACAGCTGTTGGGTTTCAGTGTGTTTTGTAACTCTGGACACTAGCCTTGTTTCCCCTGGATCAGGATGCTCCGTGAGCCGTCCTGTTCGCTGGGTCCTAAAGAAATGACTGGGGTAGAAAGCCGATTTCCCCTTCTTTAACTGGAAGCTGGAGGCGGGCCCCAGCCCTTCTGCCATGTGTCCATTATGTTCTTTATGGGACTTGTGCTCCTTTGCCAGGAACACATGGAAGAGCCCAGTCCATGCTAACCTTGACATGTGGTCATGTGGTATGTGTATGTATGGTGGTGTGTGTGTTGTGTGTGTGTGTTGTGTGTCGTGTGTGTCCAGAGTATATGTGGAAGTCAGTGCAGGAGCCAGTTTTCTCCTCTCGTGTGGGACCTGGAGCTCAAACTCAGGTCAGGCTTGGCAGCAAGCACCTTTCCCCACAGAGCCATCTCTCCAGCTTACGAAATTCTTTGAGCCTCTTTCTCCTCATCTGTGTTGGATGGTGGTGGCACACGGGATTTTCCATCAGCGTCTAAGAGAATGCACTGAGAGGGCCTGAGGGGTCAGTCTCCCGTGACAGCCCTTGCCCCTGCCGCACAGCTGGTCCTGGTCCAGAGCAGACCTTTTCTGCTGAGAAAGCCAAGGCCAGAGAAGAAGGGAAGAGAGCTGGGGGTGAGGTGAGGCTGGCCAGCTTGTGGAGCCAGTGGTTTTATCTCAGCTGCCTGGAATTCTCAGCCTGTTCAGAGCACGAACACCGTGGTGATGGAACTGGGCGGCACGCGTGCTTTCTTGGTGTCTTGCCTTTAAGCACGTGGGACACTCCGAAGTCTGTCTTGACGCTTCCCCCACTGACAGCTTCTTGTTCCAGGAGGAATCTGCCTGTGCCTGTGACGACCTCGGGAGAGGAGTGTAACTTGGCTATGGATCTTCCGGCTAACCCTGCCGCTTACAGAGGAGTTCCACCTTGAGCCCCCTTGCTCAGCTCTATAGTCCTCCCTCTTCATGACTTTGACTGCTGATCCTTGGACCCAGCTTCTCTCCCTGTACACCACAGAGCTTGGAAGGTGTAGCGACAGGGAGCATTTGGGTAACATCTTATTTTAAATGGCCTTTGTATGGTTATAAAAACCATACTTGTTCATCGTAGAAGAATGGGATAACAAGCCCACCCATGGGCGATTGCTGTCAGTGGTCTGAAGCAGCTCTCTTTGGTTCTAACAAAATGCTACCCGTTAAGTGTTCTTCATATTATCAGATTGTGTGTGTGCATAGGAAGAAGATAATTTTGTACATGGGATGAAACTATACATTCAAAATGTATAGTGGTTAGCTCTATCTCTCTTCTTTAAAAAGTTAAATGACTCAGCCATGTGGTGGTGGTGCATGCCTTTAATTCCAGCACTTGGATGGCAGAGGAAGGTGAATCTCTTAGTTTGAGGCCAGCCTGGTCTGTATATAGAACAAGTAGGACACCCAGGACAGCCAGGGCTACACAGAAAAACCCTGTCTCAAAAAACATAAAAACAAACAAGTTTATATGAATATCTAGTCAAAGTCAGCAGGATGTCTCTCTTGAGATGTTATCAACATAGATGATGTTAGATGACGTGGTTATCTGTGTACTTATTGTCTTGAAATGGCCTCAGGAAATCTTTCAAATGAAGAAGGAAAGGCAGGAATGGAAGAAATGTTTCAAACTTTGTTCTCTGTGCTTGTGGCTTGACATCTCTGGTCCTCCTCTGGCAACTCAGAAGCCTCCTCTACCTCCAAAGCCTCCCTGGCCTCTGCCACCAAATCCACCCCTTTCTCCCAATAAAGCCACCTTTACCGGTAGGCTTGGCCCACTGCAAGGTACTTTGTTTCCATCAATTTCACTATCTCCTATGGCTTCCTTGGCAATTTTGGTATCTTCTTCACTGTTGAAGTCTATAAAGCTAAACCCTTTGAGAGACCCGGTCCTCTGACCAGTGGCTATCCTTGCACGAATAGAGCCCTCAAACGATTCTCTTAAGATCTCTTCAGTGGTTTTACCCAACAGACCTTTCACGGAGTTTTACATGGCTGACTTGGGATCCTTGTGATTCCAGCCTGATTGTTCTTCCGTCAGTCTCCGTTCTCTTCAGGTGTTTAAAGCTTTAGCATCTTCAGATGAAGCAAATTCTATAAACGCATGCTCTTTAGATATGCCGTCTGGATTCTGGGGCACACTGGTAAAGGCTGCTTTCTCAAGCACTTCCTAGAGTGGTTCTGTCGCGCCGTAGGGAAGTTCCATCCAAAGTTCTGTTTCACTCCAAGTGCTTTTCTTTCCAGCTCTCTCTAGCCTTTGCCCTCTCTCCAGGGTAGTAGAAACCGATCACCCATCAGCCTCAGCCCGCTGCTTTGATTCAGGTTCTCTGCATCAGCTTCTGCCTTGAACTTGTGAGTGATCTCTTTACTTGTCCCACCCTTGCCGACCAATCTGATCTCCATGGCGTCTTCCAACACTTCATCCTCCGTGATGTTGAAAGATGGATTTTTGACTAAAAGTGTTCATGCAGCTCGAGCTTTCTTAGTGTCTCTTTTTGTTTTTTGTTTTTTTTCTGGTTTAATTTTACTGCCAAACATTTTTTTTTTTTTAAACCAGTGAACGCCAAGGCCTTTTCTCAGTCTTTAGCAGACTTAAAATCCATGTAACTGAATTTCTTGCTTGTACCAGTTCTGGCATCCACAACAGCAAGGTCAGTTTTAGCAAAAAGTCCACCGGTGGCAGCTTTTCATTCAGCTGCAGGTTTGCTGGGCTTAAGGTTTCAGCGAACAGGTTGAAAGGTGCGCTTCCCAGCCTCCCACTTTCTGCTTCTTGACGTCAGGAGCTTCTTTCTGTTTGGTCATTTCCTTTTCTTTTCTGTTTTCTAGTTGCTGCCTTCACAGGCTCCTGTCTTCCTCCTCCTCCTCCTCTTCATCCTCATCTTCTTCATCCTCCTCCTGGTCACACCCTTGGCTTTCGCAGGAGCTCTCTCCCCTTTGGCCAGTGTGATCGCCATAGCATCTTCTTCAGAATCCCCTGTCTCCTCACCATCCTCACCCGCATCCTCCGTCCTCTGCTGCTTCCTCTGGTCTCACTGCTTTCACAACTGGCCGCTCAAATGAACCCTCTTTGTCACCATCGTCTCACTGTCGTCATCTTCACCAGCCTCACCCTCGTCCTATTTGTCGCCCTTACAGTTCTTAGCCACCTTGGCTGGAGTGACAGCTTTCCTTTTTTTTTTTTTTTTTTTTTTTTAAAAAAAAATAAAGGTTGCTACTGATGCTTTTGCTTGTGTGGCAATTATAACCTTTTTTGCTTGTGAAACTACTAGCTTTGTTGGGGCTGTGGCAGCCTTCCTGCCTTTGCTTCTGAGGGGAGACAGCCTATTCGCCACTGCCATCATCTCCATCAGCTCCTCTGTACTTGGAGTTACCTCAATTTTTTTCTTTTTAACCAGCCCTTGTGAGTTTCGTCATGATGGCAGGGTTATGACTACGGCCTGTGTGGCCAAAAAGCAGCACAGAAGAGCTTAGGGAAACTCAAGCAACTCCTATGGCAAGCTCGGCTGGGGACACTAAAGACGCTGGAGCACATACCGCTGAATGTCAGCTACAGCTATCGTCGAAGACAAAAGAGGCCAACGTCACCTTAAAAGTCAGCAGAAGGTTCCGTGTACAGCAGGCCTCCCTTGGCCAGCCCTGTCCTGGGCAGCCTCAGGAGTGTCCTGATGCCTATGGTGTGCAGAGAGGTGTGCAGATCCTTCTCCAGCCCTGGATGTCCCTGGAGATGGGCCATGCAGCCTGCTGGGGGTGGCCAGGTCGGCTGTCCACACCCACAGCTCGCTCTCCCCACCAGACCACCTGTCAGCACTGCAGGTACTAAGCACAACCCATTAGCCCACAGGCGGGACCTACACAGATTGCACTAAACTGGGTTTCCAGGCATCCCATGAAGAGCGTGAAATGGGATTATCTCTTCCCAGTGCTTCCTCATTGTTTCCCTGTCAAGAAGAGGAAAAAGGCATTTCCTTCCACTCAGGAAACACTGGGCTTTTCTGTGTGTGTCATTAGATAAGCTTTTTTTTTTTTGTCCCTTTAATCTGTCACTATTAGGTTTTGCATTAGGATAAAAATACCAAAGTACACAAATCTTTAAACATTTTAAAGATAATGTCTAAACCAACCATTTCAAAGCCACTCACACCAGAAAGTTCAAGCATGTTAAGTCCTTAGCAGAGAAGGGCATGTTAACACGGTTCAAGCTGCTTCACCTTCTAAAATACTGTTGTTTCCACGTCCTTTATGTGTATGCGTGTGTGCCTGCTTGCATGTGTGTATGCGTGTATGCCTGCTTGCATGTGTGTATGTGTGTGTGCCTGCTTGTGTGTGATAACTCGGGGGTCAAGCTCAGCTACCATTCCTCAGGAGGTCACTGAACCTGGAGCTTGCTGTATTAGCTAGACTGGCTGGCCCGAGACCCCTGGGATCTTTACTCCCCACACACTTAGGTTACAGACATGTGCTGCCATTCCCAGCTTTCACATGGAGGCTGGAGATGGGAATCCGGGTCCTCATGCTTGCTCCACAACCCCTTAGCACACTGAGCCATCTCCCCAGCTCTAGCATGATCATTTTCAAAAACTTGAGTTGATGATGCTGCGAATTTCTTGAATTTCCCAATATTCTTGGCAAATCCTTTCATAAGTAATTTGAGTTAATAGAAAAACTTTAAGGATTAGGAACGTCATTTCCAGTCCCCCTAAATTAATGATGACCGCTGATGGCCCATGGGATTTAAAGAAATCTGGGGAAATAGCTATTTAATTCTTTTAATCTGTGTGTGTCCATGCATGTGCATGATCGCTCATGTGTGCATACGTGGCATGGCATGTGTGTGGAGGTCAGAGGAGAACTCTGTGTAGTAGGAGGCCTGTTTGCTCTTCCCTAGCTGCCCATACTTCCAAAATAACCTCACAGAAACTATATTATTTGTAATATTGTTTGGCCAATAGCT